GATCCCACTCTAGATTACCGACGTCTCAGTAAAATGAAATGCCTTCTGGTGGCACCTACAACCTTCCTCTCACCCCTTTTGGTTCACAGGCGGAAAAAAACCTGAACTTCCTTTCTGCTCCCAAAAAAGAAAAGTTATCTTTTATTTTGTCTTTATCATTTTTGTTTATTGCAACATTAAAAGAACCTTATTTTCTTAGCAATTGACCCTGGGCCGGGAATCACATTATACAGAGTTTGGAAAAACGTGTCAAAATGCAGAGAAATGAAATAATCACAGGCAGAGGTGGCTGGTAACTTTAGTTATAGTTACTTCTGTAATATTTTGAAAAAAAGTTACAGTATCATCAATGTTTCTGGTTCCCTTTCTTATTGAAGGCGGCTTCACTGAATAAAACAACTAAACGTAATTTATCCCAAAATGCTCCAGATATACAGTTTAAGTCTTTTTTCTCCACAGACTTTGATGTTTTATTGTTATCTGCTGACTGCTCAGCCTCCTGGATTTATTCTGAACATCCAGGAACCACCAAAGGTGATCACTGATTGGATTCATGTGGTTCACAGAGAGAATGAGGAAAAGTTTCACATTAGAGGCTTTTCCTCCTGCAACAAAATCTTTATTTTACAGTAATCCTGTTAATATATATAAATACATGTCAGTTTTTAAACTATGTGAATTTGTATTGGGGATCAAAGAGCACAGGGAAACCCCAGCATGGTCCACCCGGCGTGGCAGCCCACTGTGACAAACGAGGGAACATCCACCCACTGTGGGAGAATGAAGGGATTTAAAAAACAAAACAAAAAAGCATTTATGTGAAATAAAGAATCAGTAGCTGTTTTCACCAAATACCTTTTTTCTCTTTCATTTCTTGGATGGCTGCTTTGTTCCTTTACTTAAGTTTTAGACCAGTTTGGTTCCATGTAGAGATAATTGTAAGAAAAGGGAAATATAAACTTACGCAACAGCGTAAATCATTCTCCATCTCTAATAAATGCAGAAGTTATGTTTCAGTTCATGGTTAGATCTGAAAAAGAAGCTCTGAGCTGCAATCTGACTTCCCGTCTGTTCTTAAACTGGACCTTTCTGAATCCTGAGAAAAGTGAACGTCCAAACCCAGAAGCAGACCAGAGTGATTCTCCACCTCTTCCAGTCAGACCTGTGACCACATAGATGAACG